CCTCCATTTCTGTCATTGTCTCTCTCTCTCTCTCTCTCTCTCTCTCTATCCTGTTCTCAGGCTCAACATCAGCGACAGTGACATGTTGACCATCAAGGACGGAGATGATGAAACAACAAGCGTCTTAGGACGGTACGTCGGCGGCAGCAGCCCCTTCAAACTCTCCTCCACGACCCCTTGCCTCACGATTACCTTCCACTCCGACCCAGCCGGACTCGTCTTTGGGAAGGGAGAGGGCTTCATCATCAACTATATGGGTAAGAGTTCAGATTTTAGGAAGGGAAATGATGGTGGTACAGTGGAACAGTGGACTGTGCTCTTGCCTTACAGTTAGAAGTTCACCTGCACTTTTGCACTTTGTGTATTCCCAGCAGCCTCTCTGGTCTCTTAACTACTGCCACACCATGTGAGTCCAAACTTTACGGACAGTAAACGTTAGGTTTCACTATTTGGACCATGTTCGGATTTTCCCATGTCCTCCATGGGACGTTGTCCTCTTTTCGTCCTGCATACCTTCCGTGATTGGTCCTGGATTCTTTGCTCAGTCGATCATTATGAGCTTCCTCGCTGCTGAAGTCTCGGTCAACTCAACAAAGGTCTCGATCAAACGGATATTCGGGATAAAAACTTGAATTCTTGGTGATATTCACCTCGACTGAAGCTTCAAAATTCAGACACACGGGCTGAGAGGGGCAGAGTTCATACGTGACCACAAAAACAATGCATTCTGTGTGGGACACTGCGTCTCACACTGACGCTGGTCATAGAGTTAATTAGGTTTACACTCTTAATAGTGATGTTTAGGTAAAGTTAGGTAGGAAATGCATTGTATTTATGAGGTAGTCACAGGGGCATTATATATATATATATATATATATATATGCATACATACATGTGTACACACATATACTCATACGTATGTAAATCTGTATGAAATGTTTAATGAGTGGCCAGGGAATGCACTGTGTCTATGTGAAATACTCACTAAGCACAAAAACCAGTGCGTATGTGTGTGTTGCGAATAAATTAGCCGGCACAAATACACACATTCAGGCTGCAGGGAGGAGAAGGAAGAACACCAAGTCAATAGAGAATGAATAATTGATCCAGAAACTTCAATTTACAAATCTCTGTGGGCTTGTTATATTGTAGAGTGTAATCCCATACAGTAGCCTGCTTGATCAATCATCAAAAATACATTTGCACCAACCCACACACATGCTCACTAGTCCGCGTGGGATGCTACCTTTTCTCCCCGTTCCTGTGGCAGCAGTGATTTATAATTCTGTTTTAATAAACAGTTTGAATTTTGTTAATGTTCCGTATTATCTTCTTGGCTGAGGTGGTCTGCCGTCTGCCGTTCTCTTAGTTCTGATGTGAACGTGTGCTGTGCCTACAGCAGAATTATAGATCATTATAAGGTTTGCCCTTATTGTTGTTGCAGGTTCGATGCAACAGTTAAGTCATGAAATGAAACATTTCCTTTCAGATTGAAAGAAATGGATTATTAATGCGTCCATCCTCGTTCTTAGAACAGGAAACAGAGGGAAATACTCACTTTGTATTACTTACATTTTAAAGTTACACTCCAAATATAATACTCACTCTTTGAAGGACTGAAGACGGAAATATTTTTCGTTTCAAAGCAATAGTGCACTTACAGAAATGGCTGGTACACATTTAGCCACTCAGCAAACGCCTCGCCAAGTGCCATCCTAATCTGCTTATATACAAGTTTAAAATAGCGAAGTCGCTGCTTCATTCAGCAGAAAAACAGTCCTGACGCCTGGGAACCGACGTGTGTGTGAGACGTGTGCCTTTTTCCAGCAGTGCATTAGTTCCATCAGTCAGTCATCCATGCTTGTAAAACTACTAAAAACAAAGGTCTGGTTCATTATATTAGACTTTTTAAAATATTAATATTAATATGAATATTTACGTGAGAGGCAATGTCTCTGTCATTGGTGTGGAACCCCAGGGTTCACCTCCTGGGTTAGTTCAAATCCCAGTTAGGGTAGTTTATACCTTCCAGTGGACTCACCACCCACAGGAAGGTTCGGGGGGGTTGGTACGGTGCAGTGTGATATGGGTGGCGGTCATGGAGGCTGCGGCCCCCGCGACCCGGTAAGGGATAAGCGGATGAAAATGGATGGATGGATGGATGGAGGGATGGATGGATGGATGGATGAATATATTACCACTATAACAGAACCGTTCATCTACGTTTTCTTTTTTCCTCCCTTGTGGTCAGAGGTGTCCAGGAACGACTCCTGTCCAGACCTGCCTGAGATCCAGAACGGTTGGAAGACAACGTCGCACGTCACACTGATGCGAGGGGCTCACATCACCTACCAGTGTGACCCCGGTTATGACCTGGTGGGACGGGAGACCCTCATCTGTCTGTTAGACCTGTCCTGGAGCTCACAGCCGCCCTTCTGTGAGAAAAGTTAGTTCAATACGCCGCTGTCTTTGTGTCTGTGGGTGTGGCCGTGGTTGGAGGTTTAAAAGTCAAGGCAAGTTCACCACTGTCACGTCTCACTCTGGAAACTCTCCTTGTGTGTTAAATCGTTCGACCACTGTTTTTCACTATGTTGGACTGAAAAACATTGTTGCAAAAAGTTAGATAAAAAGTAAAAACCAACAACTATTTTTTCTTTGAAGTACTGAGCCTTTGATGGAGTTGATACTTGACATGATGACCTATCACTAGTTTGGGGAAATTGTGACTTTTATGACCTTGTTTTTGTTTTATTTATTTGGATCTGTTGCACTGTAAATCATTGAAATAAAAATAATGATATAGTGATTACAAAACTCATTCCCTTATAAAATATATATCCATGTGTTGTCTCTTCAGTCATGTACTGCTCCGATCCCGGCCATGTGGAACACTCCACCAGGTCCTTGTCGGATCCTAAACTCTTGGTGGGAACGACCATTCAGTACAACTGCAATCCTGGTTTCATCCTGCAGGGCGGCGCCACCATTACCTGCTATGGTCGTGAGCCAGGAACACCTGTGTGGACGTCTAGACTTCCACATTGTGTTTGTGAGTGTCCTGAAGGGAAATCATTTTTAGAATTTACATGTTGACATAGATTGTGTTTTTTGACGATTCCGTTAATGTGCATTCGACTTTTAGCTAAACATTCTCTATAATTATGTGTGAACTGAATTGTATGTATTTCATGAAAAAAAATGTTGTGTTCCCTTCTATAATCCACAGATGCAACCATTTGCATTGCAAAAACAGTCTCTCCGTACCCTGTTAACTATTCATTTTCTGGTGCAACATGGTTATGTGCAAATATAACATTGATAAACACAATGTTACACACTGATAGATAGATTTGAAATACCATTAATAAAAGTTTGTATTAAAATTTCAGACAGCAAAATTTAGCTAGCTAAAGCTGCCGACAAAAATGAACTAAACACGCTCTCCGACAGTTATCACAACAGCTCATCTCTGACGATTATTTTCACGGTACATAAGACAAAAACCAATCCACTACGGCAAGTCGGAAACAAATGTCCGGGCTAGCAGTTCCTGTTTAATTTAACTAATATTGCAATCTTCATTTTAAATTCAAATTCAGTTTCGCAGAGCCATTAAAATACAGTGGGATTACTGTGACAAGGGCAATTTGCCCTGCACCCTGCTGTTCCTGCCTCTGCTGTGCAGTGTCAGATATGTTAATGCTATGCTAATTCCACATATCACCACTTGCTCTAATTCTCAGCCACCTGAAGGAGGAAGAGCTGTCAAACGTGTCTGCTCAGCTCTCACTAAGCCTCTGATTTATGTTGACAAATTTGACAATGTGCAGTGTAGCTTTTTACCATTAGTTTTTCAACGTATAATGCTTATGCTGTAAGGATTAACAGGAGGAGCTGAAGTCTGATCCTACACAGAACCTGTTCTATGCTACGTACAGTATAATCACAAACTACACACTCACGTCAAATCTGAACTTGGCCACGGCAAATATTAACCCTGATCCTCTTCCTGTGAGTCAGTATTCACACATTTGTTTTCCCTCCTCCTCTTCATCTTCTTCTTCTGCAGCTGAGGAATCGGTGTCCTGTGAAAACCCTGGTCTTCCTGAAAACGGTTACCAGGTCTTGTCCAAAAGGCTCTACCTCCCTGGTGAGTCACTGGCGTTTGTCTGTTACCGCGGCTACAGGCTCATTGGAGAGGTGGCGATCAAATGCATCCTGGGAAACCCATCATCCTTCTGGAGCGGCCCACTTCCACTTTGCAGGGGTGAGACGTGAAGCTCTGTTCATCTGTGGAATATGCATGTGTGGTGTTTGTGCACACCCACTGAAAAATGTTTTTATGCTGTGGTGTGTTTTTAGCCTTGAAACTAAACTTTGATGTAAACAAACAGGGTTAATGTTGGATTAGTATTCTGTGGAGGGTGAGAAAGACAGGACAGATTTGGATTTGTTCCTGTCATGTTCTGCTCCACCCTACCTGCATGTCAGCTTCATCACCTACACCTGCTGTCCCCTGTGCCATTTATTCTGCCTGCTGAATAAATACCCAGTATATATATATATATATATATGAGTAAGAGATTAATTAAATGAGCTGAAATGCTGCCATCTGGTGACTTTCACTTTAATATACAGCTGTTTATCCCCAAAACTATAACAATTCTTACAGATATTACATAACATGCTAATATCAGTCCGATAATATCAGTCGGGCGATATTATCGGACATCCCTCGATCAGACTTAAGTATCAGATTACAGTACACGATGTCAGTCCAGAGCATCAGTTATTGAACAAAATCATGAAGAATGGAAAGAATATATACAGTACATATATATATATGAATTATATATATATATATATTATTTATATATATTTTGGGGATAAACAGCTGTATATTAAAGTAAAAGTCACCAGATGGCAGCATTGCAGCTCATTTAATTAATCTCTTACTCAGGTAGTGGTTTGTACAGATAAATAAATAAATATTATCAGGTCTATATCGATATCGGTTGATATCGGAATAGGAAATCAAGTGTTTGGACAATATCGGCATATCGGATATCAGCAAAAACGTAATATTGGACATCCCTAGTCTGACCTCATCTTCTGCCTGTCAAGCTTTTGACTCCTCTGTTTGTGTCTTGCCGTTACACATCAAACATTTCTGTCTCAGTGTGAACCATGACATTTTTCCCAATAACGATTTCTTATTGATTGTAATTACAAAATGACAAAAATAAAAAGAGAAATTACGAGGAAATTAATGTGGAACCTGATCATTTAACAAACAACATTTAACAATTGACTTTTCCACAATAAACATTGACATTGATTTATTTTGCATATTCTCTAAATGTGTTTTTAAGCATTTTCATTTCCAAAATCCACAAGTATTCACTGCAATACTTAAATGATTTTAACAACCCCTTGCGATGTAGTAGCAACAATGCAAACAGAGGAGGATGTGTGATATCTGTCAGTGCTGCACACTGAACGACTGACTGACAGAGTGATGTCTTGCAGCCCCCCGTGTCTGCTTCGGCAACCATGATATGGAAGGTGAGTGTGTCTGTGTTCCTCGGTGTTTGTGATAATGTGCTCCTGAAAATACTTGGTATGAACAGTAGTTCATCCAAGTACTGAACTGCAGCTCACACCTCCACACGGGTCAACAAACAAGTGAAAAACAGTTCGGGATGAAGAGAAAACTGCTGCATATTGACATAACGTATGCACAGAATACCTTCTCTGTGATTTTAGAAATGCCAACCATGTATTGTTATTTGTTTCAGTCCTCATTCTGTACCAGTAAACAGAGAACCAAACAGGCCTGTGACAATAACACTTCTTGCTGGACGATATATTGTCCCACAAATTCTTGTAGATTGTCAACATTATTTTGAGACCCAATTAATCACTAATGTAATGATAAAATATCTTAATAAGCAGCAAATACACCCTTTCAAACTCAATACAGTTTTATTTCTCATGAGTATTTTTTATCATTCTCACATTTTTGATGGTCCCTGAATGCCCCTCGTATTTCCTAGCACACCTGGACGCCCCTCGATACAGAGACGCCCTAATAAAAAAGGGGGGGGGGCTGTTAGTGGTTGGCGCGTTGTGAAGCTTTTGCGATTTAGCAAACTATACTCTCTGTGAGCTACGCACCATTTTGCGCTGTTCCGTTTTTACTTTGTCGACCAAACGCCTCAGTGAGCGTTAACTGTCGTGACGAAGCCCCCCCCCCCACAAAGAGTGAATGACTGACAAGAGGGTTCACTCCGCTCATTCCGCTGTGAAACAAACGTGTCCAGGTGCTGAGACTAATGCTCAGAGTGAACCTTATTGTCATCCAGCCTGTTTGAAGGTGAGAGTCGAGGAAAACAAACACACAGGCACGTGACGGTATGTCGAGGTCGGCCGAATTATCGAGTTTTCATTTTCATTAATTTAGTGAGATCAATGGGTTTATTGATTACAGGCCTACATGCTAACCAAAGACTCGCATATGAAAGATTGAAATTGTAGGAAACCTGAGATGTACTGTATGTTTAAATCACTGCGCAATTCTACTGTTAGTGATTTTAATACATTAGGCTGAACTAAAATCAAGTTTTCACTTGGTGGAACCTGGCAATAACCTCTTGTTTACATCAGACCAACGACTAAAAAGAACTGTTTTTCCCTGTGTCTGCTCTGCGTGGCTGCCCTTGTCTGCATGTGTGTGTCTGAGTATCAGTATGTGTAGTACTTTCTCTCGGATTGTTTGCTAATCCGCCTTCGAACAGAGCCACTGTATGCACATCAATATTTTACCTTGTTTCTGTTGTTGAGCAGTGGCCGAGGCGACGGCGGCGTCCACCCTGGATGGGGGGAACCTGGCGCTCATCGTCTTTGTCCTTGTCCTCCTGCTGTCTGTGCTCCTGGGAGCTGCCTACGTCTACGTGACACGGTAGGATGTCGTCTGTAGTGTTGTGATATTCAGGAACAGTCATCAGACCGATGTTTACAGCTTCAAGGACACTTTTTTTTCTTGTCGGTCTCAGGTGTAGATATCACTCCAACCTCAGGCTGCCTCTGATCTACCCTCATCCTTATCGACAAATCACTGTGGAGACAGAGTTTGACAATCCGCTCTATGAGACCGGAGGGGTGAGTGTCCTCTACGTTTGACCATTATCTGACCAGGTTCTGTGGTGAACTCCGTCCCTCTTGTTATTTGATTATTACTTTTATTTCTCTTCAACATTAAATCCCTCAGGACGGATGTTGTGGTCAGTGTTTCCTGCTGCAGGGAATCATTAGATAAAAATAGTAATTGAACCAACACCCTCTGTCTCTCAGCAGGACACTCGTGAATATGAAGTGTCGATATGAAGAGGCTCCACAAAGACATTTCTGAGGTTAGACTGATCACCCTGTTCTGACTCTTCATCCTCTGTCCCTCCTCTGCCCATGAGGACACATTGTAAATAAAATACACGATGTCCAACACCTTCTAGGCTGAGAACCAGCGATAGGTTTGGATTCTCTTTCCTTGATTTCTAACAACACTGTGGGTAGACAAGTGGAAGTGAGTGACACTGACGGCAGAAGATGATTGGACCTGGATAAGGAGCAAAGTCTTGAAGGTTGTCAACAGAATGTGGCACTAACATGATATAAAGAGGGGACAAAAGTGTAAATTGAAAGGTGAGGAATGTGAACTAAGGGGATTGAAGCACTTTCAAACACTCATTTGACAAAGTCTAGTTCTTTTTGTGTGTGTGTGGTTCTATTAAAATACTGTGTTGTTTCCCAGGTACTGCCAGTAAGTAGAAGGCAAAGTCTGCAGAGTTAAACACTTCCTGTAGACATTAAGACTCAGAGGGTACGAAGGTTCAGTCCAATTACTATTAGTGACTAAATCCGTGGTGGTCATTACTGCGAGACCAGCCTGGTCCACTGACGTTACTTAAAATGTCGCTTCCGTCATGTAACCCGCAGTTCCCCAACCTTCTTTGTACCAAGGCCCAGCTGCTGCCATGCACAGGTAATGCTGCGCTGTTCGTTAAACGATTGGTAAAATTCAGTAAATCATGTTAGCATCACAGTCAGAAATATGCAGAGAAATTGCAGAATAATCTTTAAATTTTGAAAGCAAATGGAAATGATCAGATTCTCTTTGAATTAAGTTCATTATTATTTATTTCAATCTGGCGCAGTACTGGTCCATGGACCAGGGGTTGGGGCCCTGTATTTGGGTTAGGCTTAATCCAGACCTGAACTGATGTGAAATATTGAGGTTTGTAAAATTTGGTCAAAGATTTCTGTTCCCTTGGGCTCTGCTTCTTCAGCTTTTGTTGTGAAAATGCAGCGATGTCATCATCATCAATCATGTGATGCTTATCAGCCAATCAAATCCATGCAGTCAGACACTCTCACACTTGAGACTTGACTGTCAATGAGCCAGAATTACGATGCAGAAAAGAATGGACAACATCAATGAGCCAGAATTACGATGCAGAAAGGAATGGACAACATGGTGTGGTCAAAAAGAAAATGGATGACGCATAAACTTTTTTTTTGTTGTTGTTGTTTTTTTTTTCCAACCAGAAAGTATTAGACAATGCACGGTCAAATTTGGTCAAATGTGTTGAAATGCTAAACAGTGGTGAGGTCAAAGAAAACAGACAGAGAAGTCTTGATCCAAACTAACAATCCCTAAAGTCGTTCGGTGTCACTTTAGGATTAACACTAGATTTCATTCATTTTTTATAGATATTCCATCAGACCTGTTTTATTGTATTTCTTTTGGTGTTGTGATAGATTTTAAAGTTCAGTGTTAAAAAGAAATGTTGCCATCTTATAGAAATATATTTTATTTGTTGGACAGTCTAAGATCCATCCACTACCTGGGGAAATATAGAGAATAGTATTATCTTGATAGGAGTTGTACCTTGGTGAATTTGGATTGAGTACCCCGGCTTCAAACTTTTCCGCAGAGAAAATAAACAATTCTACGTTAAAGGGACAGTATTTGATCGCCTCCTCCATCATAAAGTTCATATTGTGTGTGTGTGTGTGAGAGTTCAGTGTTTGAATTCCCTCTAATAATCTTATTGACACAGACACAACAAAACACTACAGAAGAGACCGACGGCTGATTTATGCTCTGGGAGAATGAGCCAGTTAAACGCAAAAAAAAGCAGGAAACATAAAATCATGTTTCTGTAAACATAAGAAGTGGCCAATTTTACCAGGTTGTTGATTTAAGTTAAAAAAAAAAAAGGTCTGCTGTGAACCTACGCTGTGTCAGTATCTCATACAGTCACAACGTAGACAGAACAACGTATAAAATCATTTGATTTGTATGAATAGTTCCCACATTTGCAGAGTAAAACTTACCTGGTTAAGAAATAGAATTCTCTGTATCAGCTGTGTACAAATAGAGGTGATTTGAAGCAGAGTGCAGGCCCCTCCCTCCACAGCTGTGTTCATTTACTCCCTGGCTCTGTCAGCGTGTGGTCAGGTGAGTGAAGTTACAGATTACCAGCACTGTTTACTTGACACTTTGTCCTTATTAGAGTTAAGCATGATGAAAAACTGAATTATTTATTTACAGAATTACAGTCAGTGCATTGATATGTGAATGTCTTTTACATTTTGGGCAATTCCTGGCTGACATGCTGGTAAACTGGCTAGTTAGCAGCTAGTGCTAGCAATCTAACATCTTAGCCAGTCTGTATATTTTGTACATGCTGTGTGTTACGTATTTTACAGCCGGGAGGACAATGTGTCTCAGTTGTCAGTTGTTTTTTCATTGTTTCATTTAATGTTATGAATTTTAACACTTTAATTTTGGAGTGGACCAATAATGCTGTGTGATGCTATGCTGTCTTTGCTACTTCACGGTGAAAGGCCAGGTCAGTTGACTGCATCTGTACGACCCTTATTCACTGTTGCTGAAGTCTGATTGCTAATTGCTAGGACACACAATGGTTATTGTAAAAAAAAAAAAAAAAAGTGTCTCCAGAATAAAGCAGGGTGAAGACTCTAAAATGTACATGTAGATCCACTAAGCTATGTCACCCCCGCATTCATTCACACCGTGGTGCTACAGGAAAAACCTCGTTTCCCTTAGACTTTTGGACATGTCACAACACACGTTGAATGACGTTTATACTAACTAATGTTTTTTGGGTTGTTTTTTTTTTTTTTCGAAACATTTTAAATTAAACCTTCCTTTTATAGTTTTGACCAAAATACTTCTTTGCAACCTCACGATATATTCCAACATTTATTTTCCCTTAGATAAGGCATTGAGTTTGTATTTTTACACAAACGTCATTTCTAGGCTTGATTTTGATAAAATGAAATTGTAGAAGCGTCAAATTTACTGCCAACATCTTTACGTAAAGGTTTTTCTAATACTAGAGCGAGGCACAACCAAACCAAACCCAATAATCCAAAATATGAGCTAATCTATAAAAACTCTTAACTTATAAGGAATAAAAGTTATTTTACCTTCAGAAAAAAAGTCTTTGTACCACAATTTTACCCACATGATCTAAGTTTGTTTTAATGGTTAAGTTTCAGTCAGACTAATCAACATGAAAGTCAAACAGCTTTTTCCAGGCTCCATCTCTCCTTTAATTTGTATGCAAACCACTCGCACTAACTCCACAGGACGCCTTTTTCTTTTAAGGATGTTTCAAAGAAAAAGAAATGAAAAAATGTAACCTTCTGGGAATTGGGAGACTTAAGGCTGATGTGGAGCACAGGAAATAGTTCAGTAATTTTGGTCTGTGGAACCGGTAACAACGGTAACAACGGAAAAGGAACCGTGAGTCCCTGAGGATTCAGACTCCAGTTGGTTCATCTGTGGCTTTTAATTCTCTGAGGCCTGATCTTGATGTTAAAAAAATTAGCAGCATCTCTTCTACATGTGGTGACCGTTGATGAATACTTTAGACATGCTAACCAAGTCATTGCTGCATATATATATATATATATATATATATGTGTGTGTGTGTGTGTGTAAGGTCGTTTTCGCCATCCCTCCGCTTTAACACTTGATATGCAAAAGCAGTAGGGAACCTGAAGTCTTATTTTTAGCACATGAAGATGGAATGCATGCTGTCTCGGTCTTCCGCCGTAGTGTCACTCAGTAACAGGCATCATTAAGAATCCTCTGAGACTCGCAGGAAAACCTGATCTGTGTCAGATGTACTGTTAGTCTGTGTCAGTCTGGTCCCATCTGACAGCTCTAAATGGCCAATTCATACATACACATATATATGAATTGTGAAATTTAGCCGATCATAATCAATTAATTGTGATTAATCGAGACATTTGAACAATACTACAGCAGACAGATATTTGGGGTTTTTATGACTACTGTATTTTCCGCACTATAAGTTACACTTTTTTTCATCCTTTGGCTGGGTTTGCCAACATATACTCGGGTGCGACTTACATATAAAAATATATAATTTCACGTTTGTTATTTTCACACTGACAGCCACCAGAGGGCACTCTAGGCTTGTGTACCACTATCTGCTACTCCTGCCCCACTGAAAATTGACATGTTCGTTATTTTCACACTGCCAGCCGCTAGAGGGCACTCTAGGCTTGTGTACCAGTATCTGTTAAATTTACATGTTCGTTATTTTCACACAATATGACACCCCTCTGGATCAAAATGAAGTACAAAGGAAAATAAATGCAACAGAAAAATTGATCTGACACTGAATGTTAGAAAATTCACCTGGAAATTTCCCAAAACTTCCCAAAACGTAGAGCTCTGGGGATGCATTACAGGTTGCTACTTGTATAAATAAAGATATTAAAAAACCTCTGTCGTTTTACTTTTACTGTGGTTCTGAGCTTGACTGTTGCTGTCAGCGTGTGTTATTTCATCATTATGACGTTCATTCACTCAGGAAGGATATTTATAGCTTGTGATTTTGGTCTTGCTGTGATGTTCAAACTCCGGTGAAACTTGTAATTCAGTTAAAGTAAAAGCAAAATAAATATAATCATGCACAATGTCAGATGAGGGGTTTGTTCACTACTGTGTACCTGTTTAGTCAACTGACCAACCTTCAAGGGCAAGTTCAATCAACCCACCAGAAGATACATACATATATATATATATATGTATGTATATATATATATGGATTTTGATGTATTGCACTTGTGTCGTTTTATGCTGATAGAAAAATATACATTTTCATTATGAGGAAAGAAAATGTAAACTTTTTTTAAGTAAACGTTCTTGAAGAAAAACTGCTTGTCAATAAAAAAAAATCAAAAATACTGTGTGAAAATGTTGTCACTGGGGATTTGAAACTTGCAGCAGCTTCTGTCTTCTGTAAAATCAGAAGAAGCTTTTTGGGGAAAAAAAACAAACATTTGCACCAGAGTGCAAAGGTTAATTCACATTATTCTGTCCATACATGAGAATGTAATATATATATATAGTATATATATATATATATATATATATA